TTCAATAGTACTGTTCATCAACTTTGATCGTTTGCCAATTATATTTTGCTTTCTATTCAAAAGTGAATATCATATGTAAAATATATGACTATTTCCCAAGTCGTTTGAAGATTGGATTCATTCATTTTACTGCCATGATATCTGTGGCTAAAAAACAATCAACTTTTTTCGAATCATCAACTAAATGAACAATCATCATCTCCAGTGAGTTCTGTCGACATATGTTGTCTACAGTATCCTACAGATTTCGATTGAGTAATTCATTGATGTCTCACATGAAACATGAATGATTTGAAAAATGCCAATCATCGCATTCATCGATGTCAACTATTTGAACTCGAAGCTAGCAAACCAGTAAAGGTAAAGGAGATAACCTGCCAAATGAATCGATTCAATCAGGATTCTATTCATTTATCTGTCTTTGAGTCCAGAACAAGGAAGTGAACATCATCTGCTGATTCAAAACTATATAAAAAATGACTAATCATAACGACACTTGTGACAACGGGCACAAACATTCTATCACAAAATGTTGTGTGCTGCCAAACGCATCGTTGGAGTTGGATTAATAAGTGAAATTTACATGATAGACGAACCATTCTTAGGAAGATGGAGTTCATTTATCACCTTTTTTATCAGCGAAGCTGAAAAGATCTTCCGAATATTATAGTTGACAGAGAAAGTGAATTGTTAGAACGACCTTTAATGCTTTGTTCAATTAATTTTCACCTTACGAGTACAAGTTCTGTTAGAATTAGCTATGAAAAAACCATGTAATACATGACTTCTTACGACAATAGTTATGTTCATCTACTCTATTCTCTCAAGAGCAAATCTTTCAAGACGCTTTGATAATCAGTGGCGACTAGAGAAATATATAAATTTCATGAAGTTGGGTACCAGAAACATCGAATTCTTGAGGGTCTAAATGAAAATACTAAGTTACACCGTCACACGCGGCAGAGATTGTGAATTTAGTAAATTCCTAAAAACTAGTGCATGATTTCAATGAAATTTGTGAGTATATCGTATCAAAATACTTTTAACACATGATAACATTTTCAGTAGTGGATAATGGGACGAGCCGACGAAAGTGTGAATTTTAATACAAATATTCTTCATTCAACATAAAGTCATGTTCTTCACAGGGAGAACGAACTGAAGAATATAATTATGTATCTATCATTCACTATTCTTTGTATATTTCGATTCTAACGGACACTGTTTTCTTAGAGTGAAAAACTAATATAACTCTTATCTTCTTATGACTTTTTGATTTCTACTTATGACTTTAGAACTTGTTGAAGTGTGTATGTCGGCGCAGCTCTTAGACCACATCTATACATGTAGAACAACACCGTCATCAAAACTCGCATGCACATGGACGCCATCACTTCATTTTACGTTTTCTCAAAGTGTGTATTCGACGACATGTCTCCAACGGTTATGACATTCTATCTTACTGGGAGAGAATATGACATACAGTTTTAAGTTTTTCAATTTCATTGAAAATTTGTTGACTTCATGCATATCTCAGGACTAAATTTTCGAAAAAACTGACAAAAGAATCGACGACAGCCATTAGTCTCAAGTGTCAACTATAAAATGAAAAGAATAGAATAGAATTTTTCAGTCGCAGCCATCGAATATTGTAGAAAATTCTAAAAGACGTAAAATGGGTACCCTCACTTTGTGCCGAAATTCCAGTATAATGGTATTTCATAGCATGAAGTTCTTCTTCTCAGATGAGAGTTTAGAATCAAGCAAAAATCGGATTTTTCATAGAATTCTTGGTAGAAGCTAACAGAAATTGAAAAGCCGACCATTCTTTTGACTCAAGTATATTTTGAATATTTTTCAAGACCTAACGTCGAAAGCGACCCTACTAGCAATAGCTATTTTAAAATGACATTCTAGAGAGTATGATTGATCAAATATTGCATATATAAGACTCATCAACTTCTTTACATCCAATACACTCATTCAGTTTCAGTTATTTTTAATTTTAAAAACGCCACTTGAATGCACATTATCTAAAATAAGGCAACGAACTTATCTGAAAGTCTATAAAACATCTTTTCAACATATTAAGTTGATATCTCAATTTTTTATCTTTGAACTGAAAATCACGCCTAGTTAGATTCATTAGGAAGACACTGGGGTATGAAATATAATAATCAACGCATAGTGCATCGACACGAATACGTTTGCTGTGAACCGACACAATCAAAATATGGCATATGATCATAAGGAGTTTGACGACCGTCGTTGTACTCATTTCTGAAAAGAACTTTAAATGGTAAAGTGCTAAGAATTCTTTATCAAAAGAGAATCTTATACTGTTGCTGTAGACAACGGGGATATTTCTCAGCTGAAAATCGCTGATAATTCGTTAGTTTTGAGGTTTCGTTGGTTTTCAACTGTAAGTATTTTTATGAAAAAATCCATCAAGATGTGAAACATTTCCATATAAGCGATATTATCATATAATTTAGGATGATGTTTTATTTTCGTAGTTTTGTGCGGTATTCTAAATCTACGAATCAGATCAGCTACGAGAACACGAACTTGAAAAAGACAGATTTCAGAAATATATGTAAAGTGAGATGCAAAACTGATGGTACAAAATGGCTTTGTATATTTTCTTCATGAAAAGAGCGCTACAAGAAATTTTTTCATCATAAGATTGAGCTTTTTCTCTTTGGTCAAATCGTACAGAACTTATTTTTATAACACCCTCAAGAACGAAACTATACAAAAGAGAAGAGAAGCGCCTTTAAAGTGTCTACATTTTTCTATAAAAAAGCCACTGAAGATGTTGATATATATTTCTCTTTATGTCAGCACTGAAATTAATGTTATTAAAATATAAATATCATAGTTTACACTCATTGATGTAGGCGAGAAAAATTTTTTTTAGTCGACATCTAATTTGCAATAAAGTTGTTGAAAGTTAACTGTACTTTCGTCAATTGGCGAAAGTACGGCGGACTTTCGCCAATAGACGAAACTCCACAGAATGTGTTGGCGAAAGTACAATGGACTTTCGCCAATTGGTGAAATTCCACGGGGTGTATTGGCGAAAGTCCACTGCACTTTCGCCAATGGCGAATGTCCTATTGGCGAAAGTCTTATTGGCGAAATTCCGGAACCCCAGACTATTAATGAATTTTGATCAGAGAATATCCAAATCGAGAAACCTAAATCTCTATAGATGATTTGACGAAAAAAGCATCAAACTTCGACATATGTAGACACTAATTACTAAGTCAGACACCTTGGTCTCAGAAATGCTTTGCGATGGTGTCGAAGAAGTCAATATAATCAGATGCAATACATTTTTGGTCACTCATAAAAGAATTAACAATTAATAACACGGTAACTACCAATCGTTTACTATTAAATTGATACCTCTCAGGAAAAGTTTCAACAAATTGCTGGTTATATCAAAAACTAAACGAAAAGGAGTGAGGTTATCAATCCTTGCGTTGTAAATATCTTTGAAATTTTTATTCTATTTATGAGTTGGTTCAAGACCAATCTCAGACATAATAGGATGTTATCCAGAGAACAATTCGATTCGGATTTGTAAACATTCAATCCGTATCGAAAAGAACATTTGTTCAAAATCCTTTAGAAATAACTGAAACTGATAACTTCTGATTCAACTCGTTCATCTTGTTCGTAATCATTGTCACTTAAACTCCTGTTTTTATGATAATAAGACCCTCTTTATCAAAACAACTTGTGATGAAGGGATGTCTCAAATATAAAAGGGAACCTTATTTTAATTACTTAAATAGTTAAAGATGTCACGAATTTCAACTGAATATTAATGAAGATTGAACCTAAAATAATCTATTCATTTTTCTGATTCTAGAAAATCCTTTAAAATCTACCAAACCCTCATGGTTTTCTTAGGAACGTGTTTGATTGTTAGTATTGAAAACGAGTATCTAATGTGCATCTATATAAATAAATCCTTATTTTTAATCTATTATCTACTTTTACTTTATTCATATAAACAAGGAAGCAATATCCATACTCGATTAAATTGAGTTTACCTGCTTATTATAAAAAACACTTATTTCTCTACTCGATAGAATTTCATTGCTGGTTAATATTCTGTTTTTTGTAAATGAAGAAGGACAAGAAACTACATAAATACTTATATGATTGTGTCCTACCTTATACATCGTAATAATGATTAAAACTGAATCAGTTTAACGAAGTACCGATTTGTATCTGTCCTTGGTGCTATTCTTACATATCTTGAAGCCTATCACAGCAGAATGAAATGTATAGTGACAAGAGAATCACCAGTCGGCAAGAGAGCTACAAGCCCGCTATGGTGTCACGATCACCGCTGATGATCGCCGAATGTGTCTCACGTACATCCTTTGCATCGAATTGACAAATTCTTTTTTTAATATACTTTATTCGAAAGTAAATCTTCAAATCTAATGAGTTTTTTTTCTTTTTGAGCAACAAAGAGTACGCTTGTGTATCAATGATTTGCTAAGTCAAGAAAATGTTAAACATGCCGAGGCTGTTGGAAGTAAGTGAAACATGAGAATAAAAGAAATGCTCATTATTTCACATAGAAGTCACGAATCAACCAAATAGCAGTTTTTATTTTATTTCAGTTGAATCAATTTTTTCCTTTGCTTTCTGATTGACCGTCACAATATATGAAATATAGCAAAAATAGGTCTCAATCGTAAAGTTTAAGAACTATTTTTAATGCTACTTATTTAAATGATAGCTTTCTTTTGCATATTTTCGAGTGCTGATAGTTCTTATCAATATTGTTGAAGAGAGTTGATAGTCCCTAATGAATACAAGTCGAATTAGAAAAAAAAGGACTGTTCAGGGTTACTTTGGATGTTGGTGTGGGTATGGGTACCTGCGGATGTGGATGATGGTGTGAGTCTTTTCTACACTCACATCCACATCCTACACCCTCAGACAAGGACACATTTGCCCAAGAATAAGAACGGCTAAGACATACTCGAAACAGTGACTTTGCAAGTATTGGATTTGAGTGATCCGCTAACATGTGTAATTTTGAATGAATATTCTCCTTGATCTTTTGGTTGTACATTCGAGATAGTCAATATGTATGTATCATCATCACCAGTCGGTATTGTCACTTGAATGCGATCATTAGCTGTGAGTTCATCGTTGCCTTTCATCCAGACAGCGTTAGGTTTCGGTGTTCCTTTGACGACGATTTTGAGTGTCATGATTTCACCTTTTGTGACTTGCAATGCAGCATCAAGATTAGTCTTGAAGCCAACAATGTTCAATGTTGTTTTAGCTTCAGCTTCACCAACAGCATTGGTTGCTCGAGCGGTATAGACACCTTGATCGGCAAGTTTAGCTTGACGAATCGATAGTGTCGATATTCTATCATCAGTTTCAGTCACTTGAAAACGATCGTTGGTTGGAAGTAGTTGATCATTGAAGAACCATGTCACTTGCGGTTTCTCAATACCACTGAATTCCCATGAGATCTGAGTATCTTGACCAATGGCACATGATTGATCGTTTACTGATTGTGGCGCTTCCACTTTGGGTTGTACTAAAAGAACACGTAGCCGTTCATGTTATGTGTACAAGATGATGAGTAGGGATGGCATTCCCACTTTCCTTTCCTGAGGAAAGGAAAGCCTTTTTTTACTTTCCCTACTGTCCTTTCCTCAAAGAAAGGAAAGCAAAGTTATGAGATGAGATGAATCAAGAATTTGAAAACCGTCCATATATACATTGTCTGTTTCTGAAGTGAGGTTGTAAGGAACATATGGTTGAGATTTTCAAATTATTTTGGGATTGTTTTTTGACTTATCTCTCGCTCATCGTATTTCTCTCACCTAAGACTTTTTTTACTTTATTTTATTCGATTCAGTTGATCTCAAATCCTCTCTAGGGGTGGCTAGGGGAGGTACTTTCACTTTCTTTTTACTTTCAGAAAGGAGAGGAAAGGAAAGTTTTTCTTTCTTTTCTTTTAGGAAAGAAAAGTTAGGAAATGTTATAACTGAAGGGGAACACTTTGGTTATAAGACGGAATAAAAGGGATAATAAACACACCTTTCTAGTACAGTAGTTAATACGACTGCCCGGTAAGCAGGAGATGCATAGTTCGATTCCATGCGAAGGAAATATCTTTTGTTCCGTTCTGTTGTCATACCTAGGGGTGGGAGGTTACCGTTCTCAGACCGTTACCCGGGAACGGTAACGGTAACTTCCCACCCCTAGTCATACCATCACGTTGCTATCTCGCTCATAACAGGAGACCAATAACTTTCCTTTCCTTTCCTTTCTGAAAATAACAAGAAAATGACAGTGTCATCCCTGATGATGAGTGGATGTGGGTGTGGGCGTTTGGATTGCTTTGTTTGTGAGTGTTTATGAAAAAAAGACACTCTCTATTATCAGCGCCACAGCTACATGCACATTCACACCCTTTTTAACCTTTCGACCATAGTGACTGGCTGAAGTAATGATCATTGACTACTTGGGCGACTCGGATTCTAGAAATGTCTGCTTAAATTATTTTCAATTAGATGCCATTCAAAGGAACTTGAAAAACTGTTCAAAACGAAGTGTGGAGTGTGTGGATCTTGGATCTGGGTTCGAGTTTGAATATATAAGAACTGAAGACTAAGACTATATTCCACGCCCTAACTCACATCCATCCACCACACGCACACCTACCCATACCATACACAGATAATCAGATCTTTTTATTCCCTCGACTGTAGGGAGGGTCATATGAAAAAAAATAGTTTGTGTGTTTGTGTGTTTGTGGCAGGGTCAAAAGAACATACCAGAGAGGTTAGCTTATTTTAAGACTTTTGGTCGTTTTGAGTGAACTTTGCCATAGGTTATCGAGGGCCCTGAATCCGAATCCATTGCCCATTTCGGTG